TTCTAGGAAAGGTAAAGTCAGGGTGTTTCTAGTTACCTATTAAACTTTTCTCCAAACAAATTGTATGAAAGAAACTTGGAAATTATTTATCACCTGAAATTTGTGCCATATACTACTGATGATAATTTGTTTAAGATTTATCATTTTTAGTTTTCATGGTAAAAAGGGTTGAAAACGTTACAAAACTGTAATACGCTTAGAGTATGTTTCTTTTAGCTCATCCCAATTTCTTCGAACACATATTAGAGAATTTCTTAAACAAACTCAAACTACTTTTATTACGACTTTCGATCATGCATCTATAAGCTAATTTATTTTCTGTGCAACAGATCGTAAACGAAGACATTTCTTCATTAGACTTTGATATAGAATATACTTCAGATTTCTTTATTGTGTTTTCAATGACATCAAATTTAGTCTTCTGTCTCATGTAAATATCTATATCGTCAGGTTAAGAAGACCAAATCAGACCTTGATTATCAATAAAAATTGATGTTTGTCTAAAGAAATGATTTTCTTTCTTAAATTATGAAGAATAGGTTTCCATAGCTAACACGAACGAAAAAACACGTCCTTTATTAATGTCGTACACTTCTTTTGAAACGAATAGTTGAAGTTGTAACAAATCCGTGAACTACATAAAATACGGTAGTTTTATACGTTGTATCAGCCGCTCTTATAATTTTCCTGCTAAATCAACTTCTTTTTCTATCTTAAGCAGTTATTGTTAACGCTGCCAAATGCTTTTTAGATCTAAATTTTACAGTGGCTAAGCATTCGTTATTTGTGAAATTTATTATATCAGGCATAACATGTAAATTATCATAAATGCATTGATCTTTAAAAGAATAAGTGTGAATACCCTGAATCAAATGACTCAAAACAGGTTGATGGTTTTAGAAAATACCTTATAGTCAGTGGATAGAAGTGACACCAGTCGCCAATTTTTAAATCTGTCAAAAATCTCTTTTTAGGTATTTACTTTATCATGCTACTACAACATTCACCAGTCTCTAGAGATTCATTAAAAGCCTAACGCTGAGAATTACCAATATAAGGCCAAAATTTTACTAACCACTCAAGCGTTAGGCCATCAGTTCCAGGGGACTTATTATTCGCTAATGATTAGCAAGCAGCAGTTATTTCTATAAGCGTTAAGGGAACATCTAGAGACTCACTCTTCCGTACTTTTTGGGAAAATCAGGAAGTCTTCAAAGAGACAGTCGTTATGTTGGTTTAACATTCCTTCTGAATATAATCTCTAATAAAATATATAATTACAAAATTTATTTCATTTGAATTTTGACTTATTTTACAATTTTTGTTCTTTAAAGCTATTAATACAGATTTTTTGGTACTAGATATTTGTTCTAACTGGGAAAAAATAGGATGTAGGGGTGTTAATTTATCTAATTGTTTGGACTGGTTCCTGATTTTTATATTGTTTAGTTTGAATCATACGAAGTTCTTTCAGACCTTCCTCATAGATGCGATAGTGAAAGACATTGCAAGCAAGCAAAGAAGTATACAGAAAACATTTAAGTTAATCTAGCCATCACACTTACAGAATGATGGAAATGGAGAACGTTTGAAGCGATTAGTGACTGTGATTACAACACAGTTAAAACACATTGTTAATCTTGTCGGATTAACCAGTAACAGTGAGAATGGAACAAACAATGAATAAGGTAATATACTTGTTCAAGGTTTACCGGTAACAACACAGCCACTAAAACCTTGTACGTCAGAATGATAAAGAGAAAGGTAAATATCGTGTTCATTGACTATTTTCTTTAACTTATGAAAAGTCATAGGGAAAACAATATGTGTAAAACTAGCCAAAACAACGTGAAATACAGTGGAGACTTACGCATTACCGTCCCCACTATGGTTAAAGCATATAAATTAATTGAAAACAAATTGTGTCCGTATTACAACACATTGATTGGTAATAACTGGTACGCCCCCCAGTGACACAGCGGTAAGTCTGCGGCTTTACAACGCTAGAAACCAGGTTTCGATACCCGTGGTGGGCAGAGCACAGATAGCCCATTGTGTAGCTTTGTGCTTAACTACAAACCAACCAATAACTGGAATATGCGTTTTAGCTGTGTTGTAAATGAACTTTATTAAACATGATTTTTCAATTATGCTTAACTACTTTAGGAAAAACATATAAATTGTTGTTTTTGGTGCAAACCTACACATTGTAGGTCTGTAAACTGACTTCTGAACCACAGGGGGACACATGTGAATTGTATGATTATTGATTTTTATACTCATACAAAAAAATATAATAATTCTAAATTAATTAAGTTATGTAACTTTATTATTATCTGAGGCAAGCACCATATACAGTTATTTGTGTGAAATACAAAACAACAACAAAAACCAACAAATTCTGTATCTTAAGACAAGTAAAGAGACAATAGAATGTAACATCATTAAAAACTGAAATGACAGATTTTATTAGATTATATGTGGGCTAAAGAAAATGGCGAAATAGAACTAAAAAAAACAACAACTTGCATCCAGAATGTTGATGGTTTATTACAAATAGAAAGTATTGTGAAATTTCTGCCTTTACAATAGCATTTTTATGATATGTATATTGTGAGTTTCTAGATTATATATTCTTAAACAACTTTAAAGATTATTAGGTTATATGTTGTATGTATGAATGAGTAACTTGTTGAATTGCATCAAATTTTGCAAAATAATAGTTCGCTTCAACAAAAGAATCTAAAAATTATCAATTTAACATTTTGCTTTAGCGGTTTGAGGTGGCCCAGCATGGCCAGGTGGTTAGGACGCTTGACTCGCAATCTGAGAGTCACGGGTTCGAATCCCCCGTACCACCAAACATGCTCTCCCTTTCAGTCGTGGGGGCGTTATAATGTCATGATCAATCCCACTATTTGTTGGTAAAAGAGTAACCAAGAGTTGGTGGTGGGTGGTGTTGACTAGTTGTATCATGCCCTCTAGTCTATCATTAAAATTAGGGACGGTTAGCGCAGATAACTCTCGAGTAGCTTTGTGAGAAATCCATAGTACAAACAAACAAACCTTAATGATGATCTTGCTCGAAAGTGCTGCTTGTGCTCAAGTTTTCTTTTCTTAATTTCTGTAAATTAAATATTCTATGTCGCTATCGTTTCAAAATATTACCAAATTATCCTCCCAAAATGTACTTTAAATATGATAATAGTTCTTGTTTTTAGAAAATAAATATTCGATTTTTTTTGCATTGAGCGTCTGGAAGCTTACTATTATGGACCTAACTATTTTATTTTTCGTGTTTTAAGGTTTAGCTGCCTTCCTTCTAGTTTTTCACTGCTAAATTAGGGACGGTTAGCGTAAATAGCCCTTAAGTAGCTTTGCGCGAAATTCAAACCAAACCGGTTTTGAGGTTGTTTTTAGGGATGAAAGAAATCGCGACTTTATTTATTAAATGACAATCAAAAGCGTCATCTTCTGTACATTTTAAATATATGACTGCATAATATTTATCTATACATATAGTATTAAGTGGGTATAATGGTTATTTCTAATAGGACAGTAAAGAATATGTTTAATTTTGCTGTAATAATGTTTGTGTTTTATACTTGTAAAAATTGCTTTGATTATTTTAATAAAAAAATATCCATCTATCAAACTAAAAAATATAAAAACAATGTTACCACGACAATAACTAATTGTAATTGTTAATAGATGGTTTTGTTGCTACGTTGAAATTTAGCTAAGGTATTCTTGTATGAAATATCATTTAAATTGCACAAATTGAAAAAAAAAAAAGGCTTCTTCTTTAACAACCAATTAAAACAGTGGTTATGATATGGGACTCTGTTGGTTGAAGAACCTATATCTGCTCCTAAGTTTAGATTGATATACAGTTTTACTGAATATATATGTGTGGTATGAGAATGGAAGATAAAGTATTCTTTCATCGTAGCTTTGATCCTGGTGTTATTTGTTTCTTCCATACTTGCAACGCCTTGCGTTTTCAGCCTTTCTGTCTTTTGCAGCAATATTTAACCTATTTCTCAGTTCTCTCCGGGAATTTGACCATTTTTGTACACATACTGATTTGTGATATTCGACGACATTCGCATTAAGTTAAGCCTATTACATTTATTCACTGTAACGTAAGTGCCAAAAAGCAGTATTTTGATAGTCGTCCAACAAAACCAGTCTTTCTCATTACAATACTTTGCTATGTCATTGAGGAGAAGGAGACACGTTAAAAATGCTTAGAAGCCATATCTTATGTGTATCCTTAACGTGGATGGTTTAGTTCTTGGCTGAAAAATTATCGACACAAAAGTGACTACTATTCGAGAAAGAAAAATTGGTTATAACCAACCAAAGATTCCCTTCAAGTTCAAATTGCTGCTTTTAGAGAGTACTAGTCACGAAATGCTTGAGCTGTGACATCTCCATATTTCATTATCTAAACATTTACAAGTTCTACCTAATGGTTAAATCAGTGCAAAAGACATACGTTGTATCCGTGAGTCTTACCTGACATAAGATACCTGACATTTACATGACATACTTAACTGAAATAAATCATCTGACATATACATATCTGAAATAAATTACGTGACATTTATGGGCTATACTTAACTGAAACAAGTTATTTGACATTTACATCACATAAGTTACTTGGCATTTAAATAAGTTATCTGACATTTACAATTTGCATGACATAGTGACATGACATAAATTACCTACATGCTATAAGTTACCTGACATTTACATGATATAAGTAATCACTATGGATGCTCCTTAGTGTTGTAATTTATGTGAAAATGAAGTTGTTTGCATGATTTAAAAAAAATTAAATACAAAATATTAAATAGTTAGTAGAAAATAACCGAGACATATTTACATAATTATGTCATCACATTTTGCTGACTATTAGAACTTTAAATTATTACATTTGATTTCAAATTTCGAATTAAAATTGTTCACTCTTCTAATCCAAATCAATGACTTACCATCATCTGAATCATACAAATAAATGATATGTTTCCATTTGTAATGTCTGATAACATCGACGATGGCTCGAATGTAATTTGGTCTCATACTAACACCAAAACGACTTGGTCTTTCAGTAGACAACTGAGGGAATGCAGGACTTACAAAAGGCATGTGGAAAGTGTTGGTGTAAGAAGCGAAGGTGTCGTAGATGGACTCTCGTGTTGGCGCTATTAGTGTAGAAATGCCTTGCTCTATCTGCTGGCAAACTGGAATAAAAGTATATCTGTTAAATAAAATAATTCTATAATTGATCAGAAATTTACAAATAAAAGCAGAGTGGATGAATGCAAAAATATTATGGATACATGCAATGGCGAAAAAGATGAAAACAGGAACAACATATTTTACATATTTAAACGCATGTTACTTATAGAATATTTAATATATTTTCTATTTGGAAATGTATAAAATTGATGTCTTTTTGTGAGAAACACTTCTTGCTTAATACAAGTACTTAAATTAAAGAGATATGATGTTACTTCACTTGTTAGACTTTTAACTGTGTATGTGTTTCAAAGTAGAAAATATTATCATCCACGATGGTGTAAGAGTTCGACCCTTGATTGGCGCTAAAGTACTCATTTAAATGTTGACCATGCATACAAACTGCAATTAACTTTATGTCTAAAACTAACTTAACATTGATTCATTCAAACTGAAGAATATATTTTTTTAAATAAATAAAACTTTGAACTTATACCTGTGTAAAGAAAACAAAACAAAAAGATACTGTTGTAAATAATATTACCATACAAAATGTCCTTGGGGTCATATGTGTAGTGGCGTTTGGTAAACTTGAAAAAAGCTACTGGTTTCGTGTTTGTTTTTAAAAAATGTATCTATGTAACTGTCTGTTGAATATCCATGTAATTACTTCGCAAGGTGTGGATGGATCTTAACCAAAATTAGTATGGAGGTTCATTAGGTACATGCGGGGTACATACAAATTTTCAATTTTGTATTTTTCGTTTTGAGGCGTTTTATGGGCATTTTTACGTTTTTGCGTTTTTTATCACTACTTCACCCTCTTTATATCTCGTTGTTTAAGCGTTGAAAATGCAGAATAATCACTGTTGTAAGTATCTAGAAACTTGATATAAAAATATTGCTTCCAACTGAACTTATGACTTATGATAAGAAACTGCTCCCGTTAGACTCTTATTATGGCTAGTACAAAGGAGATAGTGGAAGTCGCTTGGCAGTGATCACATGGTTTCTCATCGTAACTTCACGTTTTCTCTGTGATGTCAAACAAGACTAATATTAACATAAAGATGTACTGATGAAGGTGAAACGCTTAGGCGTATCATTATCATAGTCATGCTTCTTAATGTAAAATAACATTATTTTCAAGTATAGCAAAGTGAAACGAAAGTTATGGTTATTACGGTGGACGTAATAGCGTGGCAGACATATGTTGTTTTAATGTCTATGTTGAAGTCTTAGAGCAACTTAATATATAATTTATCAGTTTTGTGCTTTTAGACGTGGAAATTCCTTATTTGTGCGAAGCATGTTTGTGTAAGGCTGGTTGTCTGGACTGGGAAATTCTGTACTTATGCGAAGCATGTTTGTGTAAGGCTGACTGTCTGGACTGGAAAATTCTTTACTCTAAAATCTGTGAAGTAAAACAAAGTATTAGGTCGCCAAGAAATTAATGTCGCGTGTTGGAACACTTTCATTACCCCCCCCCCAAAAAAAAACGTACATCAAGTATAATAGATAAACGAACCGCCTTAACGTCACGTTAGTGTAACCTATACAATGTGTAAAATTTAGCATATTCTAATCCCATATAATG